AAACACAACAACAAGCAGAAAAGACGAGGATAACAATGTCACGGTAGCACTCATATGGTCTTAATCGCTAGCGCACAGAACTATCAGAGATACGAACGCTATACTTCGTATAATCTGTGTATACGTGTACAAAAAAAGATACGGGCTGTCTGATTTGTTTAAATCTCATCGATCTACCGATTGAACTATGTGCGGCGTGTTATAATCATCAGATTGTGAATGGAATCTTCAAAACATCTTTCATTCGGCAGATTATCAAATTCTAACAACCATTTTGTGTTTGATTGATTACATTATTGATCAATAATGACCTGAGTTTTATGCCTACTGGAAGTCACAGTGAGGATCATCAAGTCCGGATTGTTTAAGCAGCGTAATCTGTGGTTGCCTACTTACAATTCATCGATAAGTATGGTCTGCCCTTTGTCGTCCATTATACGATTCGCCTTCCAAATCTAGAGGTCAGACTTGATGTCAAAAATTAAACAGACTGCTAGCGATGCTATTCATTTTACCCGATTCGCTCGCGTGACTATGAAACATGAAGAAAATCGGAGAGAAGAGAAACAATTACGGATGGGCGGAAGAATGACTGTATCCTGTGTATTGGCCATAGAAGCCCGAGCTTTATGACGAGCTGATTTCGGGAGCATGGGCAGGGATTATGTAGACCGATTCCGATCGCTTCCACTGTGATCCCCGAACTCTCGACGGCTCCGAACCAAGTAGATGGATCGAAACGCCTCAAGCCACATCAATCACGTGATTTGACTCTATTCGGTGTGAAACGACTGAACTGTTGAGAACCCTAATCACCCTACTAATCAGTCAGACCGGATCGTGGTGATCGAGGACTCGATCAGATAAACGTCGGCTCTTGCGGTCAATACAACTTGTCCCACAGGAAAAGGTAAACAAGTACACAGAAAGAGACTACAGAAGTAAGCAAATTATTCTTGAGTTTAAAATCGCCAAAGTAGCCTGGAGATGAATACAATGCGAAGTTTTGCTGCGACGATTCAACAACTGTACTCAGTTTACGCGTCACAATTTGTGCAGTTGTGTCACCTTTAAAAGTAGTGGTATGTAAACCGGTTTCGTCTGAACGAAGATGACATTAGGAGAACAGATAAAAACACCGAAGAAATGTTCCTTGGAACAGGGAATTAGTAAAATGACATGAGGGGCACGGCGAATGGAAAAAAGAATGATAGAGATGAACAAACCCTTGGGTGATTTGAATCGTGTGCTCTGTTGGAACCATAAATATCCAAATCGTCTCCTGTCTTTTGCTTCCGGGGCTGCATTCAGATCAACTGGTTCCTGTTGGAAGACGGAAAGCTTTGAATTACTACAGCATGAACATCATGAAATAAAACTGGGTGTGAAAGAGCGAAACGAAAGTCACTGGGCCATGGCTTCATGTTCCGAAATATCACCTGAGAACATTAGTTATGTGATGGTTAAGATGAAAGGATAGAATTCCAAAAGGGGATTTGAAGAACGGAAAACAATAACTGACACTATCAGTGCGAGTGTTTCTTTGGATTGGATCCAGCTGAGCATTTTGATTCGCACATGAAACCGGCTATCACCAGAAGATATTCACAGTTTGTACAAAGATAGACATAAGCGCAAGATAGGGCGGGAAGAGGGATTATTGCAACTGCGTCATTGTGGACAGCAAGTGGATCTAATAGTCAAACTGTTCTCACAGACACGAGAATCAATCGGAAACTGGTAAGCCAACTTTCTTTGGAAGCCGGTTTGACAGAAATTTTTCAAACGCCTGCAAAAACCTCTGCATGGTCGGGGGTGGGTGCCAAGGGTTGCGATTGATAACCCTTCCTTTGCACCTGGCGAAATGCTCTTACACGACTAAGAGTATCAAATAGCCTATGCTGAGGAAGCCCTACTCACTGTCTTCCCGCGGCGGTGTTTTCCCACCAAAGTGAGCGGATAAAAAGCCAACATTTGGTACTATAACCGGATCGGTGAACCACCGGCAGTTCACCTAGGGAAGTTGGCTGAAAAACCTTGATTCCAAACCAACCAAGAAGAGGCGTACAAACCATATAATGTGATTATGGAAGTCAACACTAGCTCGATTGGGTACCGAGGTGTATTGAGCACCTTGAACGTTTGATCTGGTCCAAAGGGCCCGATGAACTGGACACCGGCTTTCGGTTTTCACATACTGCCCCGCTGTCTTGCGAGTTAGCCATTGGTTAATCAAAGGTTCCGGTTGTGAATTACCCAAGTAAGCTTAAATGATTTGGCCAGAACTAACTAGCAATATCGCGCCTCCAAGCAAATTGTGAAATAAGCATTATTGATGGTTTCTAGTAACCAGACATAATAGTCGCCTTCCAAAGCCTTTTCTCATTACTTGGACAGGTACAAACTCTGTTTCAGAATGGATGAGGCGTCAAATCTAAAGGCTGTATATAAACAGAATCACGGTTTGAGGGTGATCGTGCAACTCGAATACACAACCTTCAGGGTGGTAATGAAGGTAAGTCACATCACAACCACTAGTTTTATTTTTCAGTTATTACAACCATTAACCATGCACTTTCGTGTACCGGTTTTGGTTGCTGTCTTTTGGTGCCCCATTTGGATAAAAGAGCAGAATGAAGATTGGAATATTGAAAGCAAATTCAAGTGGAATATAGAGAATTCGTATAGAATGGTGTTAGGGGAATAATGAGTGGATGTACAAGCACCACTGTTTGCGACACTCAGCCACATCATTCAGTATCTTTAACCATCGATGACCATCATCCCGAGGTCCCCATTCAGGGAACCTAACGGGACCTATGTGACCTGGTCTCCTAGTTAGGGTTTTCATACCCTCATGCTAGGTCTTCGTTTGGTCAAACTTGAACTTCTTCCAACCGCTACCTGCTTCGGAAAACATCGCTCGTCGTAGCTGCCTACTTGGTGACATGCGTAATACATGCCCCAATCAACGTATCCTATGGAGGTCGATCACTTGGTCCGGTGGACGGTCGCGATTGCCTAAAACTCTATTCCTAACCTCAGCATTGCTCGTCCGGTTACCCCACCAGACTCCTGTAATGCGACGTAGACAGTAATCAATACGCTCAAATCAGGTGCGTATTACTCCGTGTCTTCACAGCAGGAACGAAAGATGAACAATCAAGAAATCAATAGACCAAACGATACCTTTAAATCGGTGGTGACATCGGTATCGTCCCATTACCAGAAAAGTGATTGCACAAAGGTATATTCGATGAAATGAGGAGTATCCTCAAAAATTGCATCATTACACATCACAAACACGCGGAAACGATGGTCAAGTTTTCGATTCCGCAGCTCAACTGAACGAAGGAGCAAGCAACGTGCATTTTTTCATGGCATTTCCTATTGCCGCAGGTGAATGGACGATCACAGAAAATTTGACAAACGTGAAAGCAAAAGAATGAAAGATCGAGAGCACGTGGGAGCAACATTTGTCTGCAGCAGGAGTAAGTGAGGTCGCATCATCCCCTGGTTTCGAATGCGAGGG